TTTGTTAAGTTCTCTGTAAAAAGAAGACCAATTAGATGCTTTCCAGATGGTACTGTATGGTGAATCTAAATTTTCTGCGTTCATAATTCCATCAATTTTGACAAGATCTCCAACACCACTGGATAAAATGTTGCCCCAAATTATGACAGAGCCTCCACCGCGTTTTAAAGATGACTGTACACACTCTCTGCTGTAGCTCTCTCCTGACCTCCTTCCTCTATTCACAATAATTTGAAGCCAAATTTTCAACTTTGGATTCACAACTTCATATGACCTGTCATACTGATTTTCAGCCCAGTTCTTATATAATCTGAAATACCCCATCCTTTTCATCCTGTTTCCTTCCTTCCTTACAAATGATGTCTTGGCAGCCTTGCTTCCACTGAGAGCATTTCTGATGAGGCTTCAGTGAACAGCCAGATTCATCTCTCAGGTCCTGTGTCAGGTCTTTACTGGATTTCTTCCTGTTTCTTAAGAACACAACTTTCAGATACCGTTCATCTGCTGTAGATGTTCTGTTTTTGTTAAGCCTGTCACTTCTTCTTCTGTCCTCCACTTGTTTTTTGATGTACACTGCACACCATGCAGATATGCCAAGGTTTTGACTAATAGCTCTTTGGGAAACAAAGAGCTTTTAGTCAAATAGCTCTTTGATTTATACTAAACTGTGTTATCTTTGCCATTTTTCATAGATTCAGCTAATGAAACAGGTACACTTATGTGTTTTTGCAAGTCTTTTTTGCAACAAAGCGTTTAAAGATGCAAATTCAAAACTGGTTCTTTGCTAATGTATCTGTTATATGTAGTCATAACACTAAGTTTGGAGGGTTTTTTTTGCTTGAATGATTCATAGGTCAGTGTGAAGTGGCTTAACTAACAAAAAACACTGCTTAAACCAATGTTTAGGTGCAAGGACAGGACTAAGAATCAGTGTAAATTCAGCAAATAAGTGTAAATGCCTGGAGACCTATTGCTGAAGACCAATTAAAAATTACAATAATGTCTGGCTAATTGGATGAAAATATAAAGAAATAAGACTTTTTTTTTGTCTAAAAACAAATTAACTGTCAGAGCTTTTCTATATCTAATGAAAACTTGAAAAAATAAACAAAAGCAATCCCAATATTAGTCACCATCATCTATGACTGTGTTCGTTTTTTGTTAAATTCATTGAATACAAAAGGGTATGAAGGTCGTGAGAGAGACTGTAACCATAACTGTACAATAAGAATGGTTTTACTCATTCATCTGTTATTTCTAGTTTTCTTTTCCACTAATTATCCATTACATTTAAACATCATATTCAAGAAACAAATTCAATACCTTTAACAGACTGTTTATTGCCCTTTTACAGAGCACTTTTTATGTATACTCACTTTCAAATGTGTTAGGATGTCTTAAGAGCTGACTCATTGCGTGCATTTGTTTTTTAAACCTTATTTATATCTCCATCATCTGGGGAATAAAATGCGGTAACTTTCTTTCTTACTTGAACATCACAACTACTTGTCTATCCTTCCCCTCGGGGCGACCAGATCACCGTGTGGGGCCCGGTGAGAGTTTCTTGACGACTGGAAGTGGTGTGGGTGGCGGAGAATGAGTCATCCATCATCTGTCCATCGCCTTAGGTTGCTGCTGCTGGTGCAGAGCCGAGTCTAGCCCCGTCTCACAGTGCTGAAGGAGCAGTGATGTCACAGTCGTCGCTGTTCTCTTCTATCAGAGCTCTTGGCATTCGTGCACTCCAGCTAGAGTGGGATACAATAATAGAATCGAGTGTGTTCATTTAGGCCCCCCCGTCTCTCTGTATGGCATTTCTTCTTAAACTGCCAACTTTTTTTTTCTTTTTTTTTAATCTGCTTCCTGGCAGAGGTTTGTGGAGTTACACAGATACACTGAAAGAAGCAATGAAAATTCTGTTGTGGTTCCCAAGAGATGTGGGAACGTCATGTGTCAACCTCAACCGATTAGTTTCCCTCTTAAATCTTCCTTTTCAGGGACAGTTTATTCCACTGCCGCAGTATTTCTTAGAACAGAAAGATTTAGGTGTTCTTCAGAAACAGATAACATTACAGGGAGATTAATCGTCTGACGTGTTGTTTTTCACGGGGTGCAGAGTTTGTTTCTTTTTTAGAACAACGTGGCCCGACTGCGTTCTGAACATGACAGCCCTCATGAATGACTCACAGTGTTAGCCAAACATCTGAAGAAATTACCACCCACATGCTTTTGCAAAAGAAAAAAAAATGACGCAGATGTTCCATTAAGCAACTTTTTATTCAACGTACTGTAGATAAATTTGATACTGCATGAAAGCTGGTGGCTCTAGTTCTGTCAAGCAAGTGACTCATCATTGGATAAATTGCCGAGGTTACATAACAACTGTACTTTCTCAGCATATGCCTTCCATTGAAGTGACTTCATCCCCTGTATAAGAAACGAACTGAAACAAACCGGAGACGTCAGCCTGGAGGCATCTTACGGGTTTTGGGTCAGGGATGAGGGTCTTACTGTGTCACTGGAGACAAGTCAAAGTTGTTGTTGTTTCATTGTTATTTTAAGTACAGGGAAATAACCATGTTTACACTTGATTTGAGTCATTACTTACACTGTAGGCTAAAGTTCTGACATATAAGGTTATTTCAGTTAGATGGCTTGAAATACAGCCTAATATTATTAAGGTTTTACTGCCCTCTTCAGGTTTTTGTAATAATGCATATTTACATCCACATTGGGTGTAAATTAATTCATGTCCAGTGTGAGCATGTGACTGCCTTTTAATATAAAACAATAAAATAATAAGTGTATTTTTACATCTCCACACAAAAAACTCACCCAAATACTAAAGAAAATACTCAAATATTCACTCTCCGGCCACTTTATGAGGTACACGTTGCTATTAGAGCTGCCTTAATTCTTCATGGCATAGATTCAACAAGGTGCTGGAAACATTCCTCAGAGAGTCTGGTCCACATTGACATGACAGCATCATAAAGTTGCTGCAGATTTGTCAGCAGCGCATCCATGATGCGTATCACCACATCCCAAACATGCTCTGCTGGATTGAGATGTGACTGAACACCATTTAAGTATCGTGAACTCACTGTCTTGTACAAGAAACCAGTTTGAGGTGTTATCCTGCTGGAAGCAGCGACCAACATATGGATACACGGTGATTATAAAGCAATGGACATAGTCAGCAACAGTACTCGTGTAGGCTGTGGTTTAGTTGGTACTTAAGGGCTGATAAGCTGATAAGAAAATATACCCACCAGCAGCTGTGGAACTGTTGATATGAGACAGGATGGATCCATGCTCTCATGTTGTCTACACCAAATTCTGACCCTACCGTCTGAATGTTACGCAGAAATAGAGCCTCATGAGATCAGGCAATGTTTTTTGAATCTTATATTTTCCAATTTTGGTAAGCTCGTATGAATTGTAGCCTCAGTTTCATGTTCTTACCTGACAGGACTTCGTTTGGTCTTTTGCTGCTGTAGCCCATCTGCTTCAAGGTTTGATGTGTCGTGCATTCAGTGATGTTCTTCATATCTTTGTTGCAGTGCATGGTTATTTGAGATACTGTTGCCTTCCAGCTTCTCCTCTGTTTCTCCTCTGATCTCTGATATCTACAAGGTATTTTCACCCAGAAATCTGTTTTTTTAACCATCCTCTGTAAAAACTGATTGTGTGGGAAAATCTAAATAAATCAGAAGTTTATAAACACTCACATCAGCCCATCTGGCACCAACAGCCATGCTGTTTAAAGTTACTTAAATCACTTTTTTTCTTCCCCATTTAGATGATCATATTGAAATTTATCTTCACTATCCTTAAGTGCATGGAGTTTCTGTCATGTGTTTGGCTGATTATATATTTGTGTTAACAAGCTGTAAAATAGGTACCTAATGGATTGGCAGATGAGTGTATTTTTTTAGATATCATGTCTAACATAAGATCAAAAACAGACTAACAACTCAAAATGTCCCCATATTTCCATACATCACACCCAAACATTGTAATTTATTCCCAGGACATGCACTACATGTGAGCACACCCAGAGGTCTTGGAAAAGGAAAAATGTGTAATTACTAATAAGTATATTTAAATACTGCATAAAGCAAAAGGTTTCAGTTTGAGAAGTGTCCTAAATATTTGTGTCAAATGGTGCCATTGACAGACAAGTACAGCCACTCGCTCTTACAGATCCAGACCCAACCAGATAAAGCCGGGTTTCATGCATGTGTAAAGACTTTCAAAGGGCAACATTTTTGGATGTTATAGATGTTTAGTGCATCTATGTTAAAATGCAAACCACTGATACCTTGGCTTTGGTACCGCTTACTGCTCATAGGATGATGACAGTGGTAGCCAATTAACACTGGGATATCCAAGCCAGGAAGGGCAGAGTGAAAGTCTTTCCTCTTTTGGCAGACTCAGTGGGGGTGGCAGATGGTACTTAGACAGGCTAAGCTGTGTACTTCTGTCTGTGTCGAGATTAGAAACCAGGTGCTCCCTTGTAAACGTGACTGCAGGCCAATCAATAAAGCCTTTGTTAAGTTTATCTTCTTTGATTCTATTCTCTTTAATTCTATTTAACCAGCTTGAATTTGGAATCAACTCCAAGATGAAACAACCTCTAGAGGGCATCAAAACATTCCAGTTCAATGGATTAAGTGGTGTAAATTTATTTTGAATAATCATTATTCTCCATTTAGGATTTTCTGGTCTTTGGATGATCTTTAGGTTTGTTAGAAAATATGCAACAAAACCCACAAATGATACATCAAGCTATACAGAAAAAAGCAGCTGTGATCAGTGTAATCTCCTCTGTGTGGCCTCAGAGTAAATTCAAGAGTAAAAGTGGCTTAGTAAACAGTCCCTTCAGACATTGTACAGTGACTGGAGCAGCCAGAATCAGTGCATCCAACCTATGAAACCTGCTTAGGGGCATTTTGGAAATAGACTTTCATAAACCAAGACACTCACCAAAGCTAAAAAAGTGTGAAGCAGCTTGTTCCTTTATTAATATTGTGCTCAAGAATATATCCCATACATCCCATAATTTAATTCTTATTTGTATTGCTTGTTCTTGCTAAGTTAACCCTTGAAGATTTAGGCATGCTACATTCACAAAGGACATTTTATGAGTTTTTTTTCCATACAAGTAGGCTAGCTTAAATAGTTTTATAGTGTTGTCTACATAACTGACAGTTGTGTTTATGGTACAATATTTATTTTTTAAAAAAAGTATAAACCATGTTGTTCCATAAGATTAGACCCCTCTTTTGTTGAACTGTCAACTGAAAGTGTAAACCTTTCTAAATCTGACAGAGCAGGAAGTTACTGCTAATGCTAGCCAGCGTTCTCAGGAAGTTGCTGCTAATGCTAGCCAGCGTTCTCAGGAAGTTGCTGCTAATGCTAGCCAGCGTTCTCAGGAAGTTGCTGCTAATGCTAGCCAGCATTCCAGCAAAGTCATTTCCTGGACCAGCTGGAACAGTGGCTGTTTTGGTCCAAGAGCTTTTCCTAACATAATCTATGGACTGGTATTATTATTTTTTTTTTTAAATAATAATAAAGATACAAAAAAGCATATTTGTCACAGATACAAAGCAGAGTTAAAAGAGCGAGGAAGTATTGAAGCTGGGACTAGCATAACAATTTGGGTTATTTTGACTATAAGTCTAGCGCTGCTGATATTCTGTTTGTAGTGTTGAAGAACCAGGACATATAACATCACTTCTTTTCTTTTGATGGCTTCCCGTTGATCAGGCCTGACTCCCAGCGTTGCCAGAGAGAAGCTTTCTGTCCTCCTGCTCGGTGAACTTTTGGCTCCTGCTGTGAGATAAGACGAAGAAAAACAAAAACAACCTGGATTTAGAGTGAGAGATTAGCTCCTGCTTTCTCAATTCACAATCAATTATACTTATCCAAGCATTTGTACAACAAAGAGGATACTTTTTCTTTTATTTGTTTTAGTATTTGTTTAGTATTACAAAATTTGAAAATCTGAGCTCTGTAGCAACACTTTTCAATGCTTCTGTATAGAACTCAGTGCAATACACAAAACAGAACCCTTTTATAATCCTCTGTTCTTGCCAGTGTTTAGCAATACATCCTATAGTTTTACAGAACAATGAAGAAAACAGTAAATGTAGAATTAAGGCTTGTTGCAGGTGAATCACCTCTATCTGCTCCAGTTTTATCTGGTCCTTTTTAGAAGGAGGTGGCCAAACCCGCTCCAGTTTCCCCCGTGACTGTTTCCTGATGTCTGTAGGACAGAAAGAGAAAAAGAACAACTAAGTAGCTAAGTAGCTAAGCTACTGTATTTGGTAAGATTAGCAGCTCTCTACTGCTTTGACTGATTTTAGAAGTTTTAGGGTAGTTCTGAGAATCTACACAGTTCCATTGTAATGAAAGTAGGTAATTGAGCTTCTTTATTTCCATGCCTTCTAAATGGCTCAGCAAATAGTAAAGATGCAAATGCTTTCCCAGACACACGCAACTTCGGTGTCATTCATTTAGCATACTATATGTGTAGCAATCACAAAGTCAGCTGGACGCTTGTACATTGCAATGATACCACTTACATATCTAGGAGGGAATCGAGCACTTTAGAACGACCAATTCTTTCAAAAATGTTTCACAAACCTTTGTTTTTGATATACACGTAAAGGATTCTAGGCTTATTTTGTATTATTTTTCATATCACGTTAATATTTTCAGCGTGAAAGTTTTTGTCTTGTCGGGCTTTATCAGTGTATCTGGGTTAAACAAGTACAAAGTTTCCTGTTGTAAATGTTTAGGATAACACAAAACAGCTTATTTGACCTTAGGAATGACTCTTTCTTGCTTCCACATATTACTGTCATTTGTAGCTTTTTCAGCATGACTTGGAATCAACTCAGTCTTCAACAACAGCTGCTGATGATTAAATTCTAACATGGTGGTACTTGTTGACACACTCCCTTGATTTCTGAGTTCTCATGCAACAGGAGAAAAAAATGCACACAAGCTACATTTCATATAGTTCTTTCAAATAGGTATTTCAGCGGGCTGAACTGATTTTTATTTGCACCAGGCTATAACCAAACTAGAATTTTCCAGGTAGTGCCATTCATGTTCTCCCTCAGCCAACGTTTAGATCAGACAGCTGACAGCATGATGTGCCCTTAACCATCAGTGACAGGGTGACAGTGAGTTGTTGATAACATGTCTGGGATGAAACTATGTGATGCTAATGTTGAGAAGCATTCATTAAAGTGTTCAGACTAAGTGTCAAAAGGCATGTGGGATGAATAAAGACCTAAATGGCTCTTGTTTTCCCTTGATGAGGTTTTAGAGATTTTATGCTTCACATTGTCAGCAATGTTTAGCTAAATGAGCAAATTAGGTTAGAGCTCATGCAATTGCTTATCACTGATGGAAGGCACTCACATGTCAAATAGTTGTAGTCGAGTAAAAAGTATATTTTTCTGTGAAAACTTTGGAGTACTCTTTAGTCGAGTAAAAGTCAAATCATGCCAAAATTATATTATATAGTAATGTTCCTTAGTAAATAGTATAAAAAGCTGTCCTTAACCTCCTAGGACCTGGCGTCCACATATGTAGACATCACATTTTGGGCTGTCTAGACTAAAATACAAAATTTTGCTCTACAAGGGCCTGATATCCACTTACGAGGACATTATACTGCCACTGTTCTATCAAAATTTAAAACAAATGTCCTCATATGTGAATGTCATTTTTCTCAGAAACAAAAATCAGGTAAAACAAAATATGGTAATTCTTTGTTTTTACAATTATCAGGTCCCAATCAGCCCAAATAGCAAAGAGAAATTAAAAATGCATGCCATGAAAGTTCAGGTCTTAGGAGGTTAAGGACTTTGCTAAGTAGTATAAAACTGATGTTAAACAGGTGCATACTAACCTGTTGGGAGTGTTTGTGACTTTTGTTCATCTTCACTATTCTGTCTCTTCTCTCCATACAGAGTGCATCTCTGCTTGCGCAGCTCCTCTTCTCTTTCTTTAGCTTCTCGGATGTCCTTCTCTACCTCTGGTTGCAGAGCCAGGGCTGGACGCAATTTGAAGAATGGGTTCTGCTTGAGGATCGAAGACTCTTTGTTTGCATTTGCTGCCTTTGCTTTACCCTCGACAGCTAACGTAGAGACGTCATTGCTTATAGAGTCCATGCTTCTGTACAGGCGAATGTGTTTGTCTTGTTTTGGGTAAGGGGATAAGCGAGTTTTGTCTCGTGAACCTCCAGTTGGGCTCTTTGATCTGATGCTGTCAGGACTTTTTTCCTTCTCAAGATTTGCAGATTGGTACAGCCTGAGGGAATGTGCTCTGGAAACAGGACAAGTTTTGAGGGAAAACATCTCAAGGCTACGTGTGCGCTCTAGCACTGAAGGGTAAATGTGATCTTTCCTCAGAGTTGTAGGGGATTTTCGGTGTCTTGTTGGACCCTCCGGATTGTCCTGCTGGAAGGCTTCAAACAGCAGTTTTGTCTCTTTTAACTGGCGGATCTCTCCTTTGCTGTACCCCCCTGGGATTTTACCTTGATTGACCAGCACTAGTTCTCTCTGAATATCCTGACTTATCTCTTTGAGCATCTTCTGTTCAGAGAATTGCCACTCGTTGCATTGGCTTGTACCTACCTTGGTAGTGAGTGACTCAAGAGAGATATCTGTTTTAAAGGGAATCTCCAGCACATCTGGATTTTCTGCAAGATTGAAAACACCTCCAGCTCTCTGCAGCTTCTGCTTCCCCTGGGCTGCCTCATGGAGCTGCCTCTCCATGTAGGTTTCAGCAGCTGAAAATCGGTGTCCAGTGGAAAGAAATGGAATTTCATTAGAAGTTTCATGAGGATTACTGGGAGACAAATCTGTAGGCTCCCAGCTATCACTCTGATTGTCATTAGAGTCACTCGGATCTATTCTGACAATCCTCTGGTCTTCTTCTGACTCTCCTGGAATTGTGGATGAAGATGTCCTTGCTCTTGTTTGAATGTCTTTGTCCTCATTATTTTCCTTTTCCATCAGGCTCACCTTTTCTTCATCTTCCTTAAGAGTTTCAAATCTACCTTCTTCCCTCTCTTCTTCACTAGGTATATTCTCTGTTTCAGTCCCAAACATGCCCTTTTTTTCATCCATCATGACAGCCTGCTGTTGGGTATCAGCGTTCTCTGACATTTTCACATCATGTCGTAGCTGTACCAGCTGCAGACGATGAAGCAGTTGCTCACCTTGTTGGATATCAGTAGATATTTTCCTGCTTCCATCCTCTTGCTCCCCCATTGTCTCTCTTTCTTCAGAACCTTTGGAGCTGGATAGCACTTGCATTTCTGTGCTGCCGCTTTCTTTCCTCACACAGTCATACTTTATGAGGTTATAGTCCAAAGATGTACGGTCATCATGCTCTTCATTGTCTTTGTCCGTATCTGCTTGGAAGTCAGCAGCCTGTGCCTGACTGGTTGCTGTATCGGTCCTGTTTTGGTTGGATTTACAGAGCTTGAAATCATCATCGGAATTTGCCTCCACACTCTCGATAGCTATACTTTCTCTTAATAGTTTTGAGTCTGTTTCATCAAAATCACCAATGTCCTTGTGTTTTATTTTGTCTCCGTCTTTGTCTAAATGGATCTGATTCTCAGAGTCTTCTCTGTGGTTTGAATGGGTTTGTTTTGGGTAATTGTCTTCCTCCGTTTTGGCTTCCCAGCAGTTTCCCTGTTCTTCACTTATAATTACAATGTCCTCAGGTTTGTCATTCTCTGTGGCGTTATTCCCGTAAGGTCTTCGATCTGTATCATAACCAGTTTCCATCAGACAACCAGTCACATCCATGGATTGTTGTTCTTGATAAGTTGGTGGAGTGGAGTCTTGTTCATTGGATATGTTGGCCATAGACAACTGCACTGCACTTGCAGTCACCTCTTCATCCAGCTCGTTTCGTGCTACCATTAACTGCTCCTCACTATGAGACAAGTCTAAGCCTCTTGGATTAGCTTCAGCCTCTGTTGCGTCAACTGAAAGGGTCACACCAGACTTACTTGCTGTTGCACCTGTGCTTTTCTCTGCTGGCAGCGATGAAGCCGTGCGAGGTGGAGGAGGAGGAGGTGGTTGAGGGATGAAGACATCATCTGCACCTTCATCATCCATCACACTGTAGTACCTCATTATAGCAGTGGGAGCAGCAGAGATCATTGTGATTTCGTCTTCAGAGGTCGCTGAAACATTTTCTGTGTGGTTGCTCACATGGTTTGAATCCATCTTCATCCACAGACCACTGTCATCATCAGAAAGTAGAATTTGAGGGCTGCGTCTAGGACCTCTTGCTTCCATGTTGAAACGTCTTTGAAGCAGTTTGTGGTGTTCTGTCTGTGTTGCCTTTTAATAAAATTTAAATAAGAGACATGAGTGTCATTGAGGCTTATAAGCGTCAGTGCTAGTAATTGTTATTATTATTATTACTGCTGTTATATACTATAAGAAAGAAAGAAACTAAGAAAAGGCTAGGAAATGCCTTTTTAGTTAACATTATATCTGCGACATTTGGCAACGATACGGTATTATTGTACAATGCATTGTCTAATTTTACTATTTACAGAAACCTCTAGTGCATTATCTGTTAAAAACAGTGTACTAGCAGAAAATTACCAGTGTGCGATGTGATTTTTGTGCAGTTTTTCTTTCTTTTTTTTACAGTGCAGTATAGCATTTATTTTTGTTATTTTTGTCTAGTTATTTTTGTCTATTAGATTTTGATACAAGGAACCTGATAATACAGACCTCAGTATCAAGCTATACATTAGGACTCATCCACACAAGTGCCCTGTGTTGCCATCTTGTCTGCTGTTGTGCACCAATAATTGCAAAAAACAAAAGAAAAGAAAAGAAAAAACACAAAAATTTTAAGATTTGTAGCAACAAAGGCAGTGAAAAGTGCAAGTTTGGCTTTGACAATAATGAGTAAAGAATGACTGACAGAGTTTCACACACTGAATATGAAACCCTTTTTATTTTATATAAAAGGACTATGGGGTACTATTAAAGGCCTTTTCGAGTAAGCACTACTTATAGGTGGTGGATGTTCATAACAAATTCCTGGTGAAATTAACTAAACTGTGTCTTCTTAGTTTTGATATATGACCAAAAATCTCAAAATGTTTAGCTGCTGATCTGGTCGGGATCACAACAACAGCAGGCTTAAAATGGACCAAAAATAGAAATACGTTTATCCGTCCATCCATTAATTTATACGTCCTGTTTTTTTCTGTTTTTGTTTTTAAATTACTTTGTGTTTTGGTAGCTTTTCTCTCCTATTCAGGTCAAGTACAGACGTTTCTTCTGACAAAGGAAAAAAAGTAATGTCATCATAATGCAAGTCTGCTTTAAATTCTGATTTATCTTCATTCTGCCTGAACTCATCAAGCTAATTTCTGACAAGTACTGTGAGATGTTTGCAAATAGAACCTCAACAGCTATTTAAACACGTATTGTACATTTACTCTGAACATCACAAAATAATTTGTATAATTATTTAATAATTCTTTCAAGACATGCTTAGATATGGAAATGTATGTCCTGGCATAATCTGGTTTATTGAGCTGCAGGTTTTAAATCTAAGAGTCTATATTTACACCTGTATTCAGGGGCTTAATGCCAGCCACACTGCAGTTAAGGATTATCAACAGCAGTAACACCACGCTGTTTATAAAGCTCAAGCAACAGGACATATTAATGCACCTTAATGAGCTTAACCTATTTATTCCACCGTGCTTTAAAGGAACACTTTCCTTTCTATCGTTGCTGTGAAGAGTTTTGGAGATCTTTTAAATATTATAATAGTCTGAATATTGTAGTTTTTTGTAGTTCTTTAAAATACCTCCTTCTCCTTAAGTGACTGTGTAACATTATATGGAATTTTGTAATTCCATTATCCACTATATGATTAGTAGTTATTCCTGTAGTATGGATACACTCACACACAGTCAGCTGTTCTTACTCATATTTGTGCTGTGATAATATGACTTCAGCTTTACCTATCTATCTATCTATCTATCTATCTATCTATCTATCTATCTATCTATCTATCTATCTATCTATCTATCTATCTATCTATCTATCTATCTATCTATCGAAACCTGTCACTTTATCAAAGAAAGAAATTGAGACAGATAATCAAACCGAACAAGTACAAAGATTTTTGCATCACACAGGCATTTTAAAAGAAGACACTCACCTGATTGCAGTGCTGTGGTCTTCCCCTGTGCGTGATAGCACTAACCTCAATGGAAATATGAATGATCCAGCTCATCTTCTTAGCTCATGTGCCCTCCTCTACTCTATGTCATGTGAACAAACAAAATCCGCATCTTTAAGCAGCAGTACACAGTTCAAATGACCTGCAGTGAGTGAGCCCAAAGAGGGGAATGACCCACTGCAAAGTGAAAATATGGAGTCTGACTCTTGGTAAATAGTGTCATTGGT